TAAACAACTAACTATAACAACTATGCAGAGTAAAAAGTGCTAAACAGAGGACTTAACACAGAAGCTGGGCCAGTCTTGTCTTCATATCCTGCACTCCCATCTCTGTTCTCACAGCCTCTGATAGCATGCTGCCAGAGCCTTTGCCACTATGATAATAGATTAACTAACTGTGCAATTATTTGCTTAATATATCTTCCCTGTAATAATATCAGCTCTGTGTGAGCAAAGACCATACTTGTCTTATCTACCATGCCATCTCTGTCCTCTAGCACAACACCTGAAGTGTAGTAAGTTTTCAGCAACCATGATGGGGAGGAAGGAAGAGCAGCTCATTTCAATGTTTAGGACCAGAGAGGAGTTCACAGAAGAGGTCTACTGACCCAGAGGCCTGAAAAATAACAAGAATGAGGTTTTCAAATCTACCACAGAGTAAATGACTTTTCCACACACTTTTCCCATTGGACTTCTTTGAATACTCGTTTTTTTAATCTGTAGTTTGATATCTTTCAATTAACTTGGAAATATCCATTCTTTAAAGGTGTTTGTGGCTTTCTGCCATACCTTACAATTTAACTCTAGTTAAAAGGGTTTCTCATGCATCTGGTGAGGGCCTTCTTCTGAGTGGGAACTCTCTACAGGGTCTCATGGTGATGCAGGCAGTCATGTGGTGAGGGGTGCAAGAGCTCTTTCATGTGCTCACTTGCTCTCCTTATAAAACCAACAGTCCACACCCATGACAACCCATTAAACCATCAACCCATTACTCCATGAATGGATCAGTCCACTCAAGTGGACAGTCCTCATGATCCAATCACCTCTTAAAGGCCCCACTTAAAAAAAGGTGAGGGTTCTCCAATGAAAGAAATCAAATAACAGTGTAAGCTGGAATAAAATTACTTTCATCACAGATGGTACAGATTAAGCACTAAAGACGTTTTAAAGGGAGCAGAATCACTTACTGAAGACCCAGGTGGTTTTCATGGAAAAAGTAGGATTTTTAATTGACCTAGAAGATTTTGAAAATTTTAAAAAAGGGGGAGAACATGGGTGGGGGATGCCAAGAGCCCAGATGGAAGCAAGTAGAGGACAAAATATGTGTCAGGAGAGAAGCAATAAACCAAGTGGGAAAAGGCCCAGCAGTGCCAGGGTACAGCTGAGGAATTGGGACTTTAGGTTAAATCTAGTGGATCCAGTCCAGAATGTTAAGGGGTAAAAAGTAAAATGTTTGGGGAAGACTAATTTAGTAATAACTTGCAGGGAGACTAATTAGGAGGATATAAAAGAATATCCAATTAAGAGGTAATAAATTAAGAAGATAAAAGAAGCATCGTGAAATGAAAAATAACCAATTTACTTTCTGATTGTTAAAGCATCTCTCAGATCTTGTGAGAGGATGACCAGAAAGTAATAAGAAGCATTTCAGAAATAGAAAAGAGCACAGGAAGAGCCATTCATAGAGGAAAGAGGATAAGTTTGGCTTTATACATGTTTGCTTTAGGGATAATCAGAATAAAGTGCCCCAAAGAAAATGGAGATGTAAGATTGTACTATTTTTGTTATTGTCATTGCTACTATTATTATCATTATGATTACAGTGATTGGAATTCATTGGTATAAGCCTTAAATTTAAAATGTCATCAGCTTTGATTTTGGTAGTCCAAATCCCTCAGTGCTGAAAAGGCTTTGCTGTGATGGAGAGGAAATGGAGTGTGGTGGGGTTTGGGAGGGATGTCACCACGTTCTAACAACATATGCCACAAGGTCAGTGATAATGAGATGAGGAGCTCTGGAAGTAGGTCTGGTGGCCATCCAAGAGGACTCGTGGTGGGGTTTGGGAGGGATGTCACCACGTTCTAACAACATATGCCACAAGGTCAGTGATAGTGAGATGAGGAGCTCTGGAAGTAGGTCTGGTGGCCATCCAAGAGGACTTGTGGGCTGCTGGTGCCACTACTTGAGAGAACGAACCCTTTTTCCATATCAGAGTAGAGGAAACTGACGAAACTAACAGGAGACTGAAGTCTAATCTATAGAGTAACAAACCTTTCCCTCATGCAGTTATCTCCCTAGCTAAAGAAGTCTTTAGAAAGTTGCTTGGCGAACATAGACTTCCAGCCCAGGAAAGTGAATAAATGTGAAAAATATTTCATCTGGTCCATATGAGGGCTGTGTGTCATTCCTACCTGTAGTGATTGAATTATGTCCCCCCAAAACTCCCTGAAGCTTGAATTGTATCCCCAAGCTTTATGTATTAGAAACTTAGCCTCCACTGTGACTGTTAAGAGGGTGGGAAATCCTATTATTGTAATTGAGAGGTGGAGCCTTGAAGAGATAATTGGATTGTAGGACCATGGCATGCAGTAGTGAATGGGTTAAAAACAGTCGTTGGGGGTGTGGTTCTGAGGGCTTTAAAAGAAGAGGAGAGTCTGTTTTTTTCTCTCTCTCTCTCTCTCTGCTCTCTCCGCTTCCACCATCTTGCAATATGAGACCCCTGGGTCACTGTCACCACCACCAGATGGACTCTGGACTTCCCAGCCTCAGAAATTAAAAGATGTAAGCAATAAATGTCATTTTTCTTCATAAATCACCCAGTTGCAGGTATTTTGTTATAGCAACACAAACAGACTGATACACCACCCTACATCTGAGTTCTGTCTCTTCTTACTAAAATACTCAAGCCCAACATATTTGGTGTCTTTTTCCCTGGGACAGTATGAGAAGAACTCTTCAGGGCTTGTCTTGCATTTTGTTTACTTTCCTTTGTTACACCCAAATTCAGTTGTCCCCAAATGCCACCCCTGCCTGTGGAGTGCCTGGGGAGCTTGTTTAAGTTAGAATCAGGAGCCTCGTGCTCAGAAATCCTGATCAGCAGAGGACTGCAAGAAATAGCTCCCATCTTCTGGCCTGAGGGACAAGTGCCTCGAGGAAGAGAAGTTTCTTCTACTTGAGAAAGTGCGAGGGAGGTGGAATCTTAGGGGCCAGCCAGGTTTCATTTAGAGAAGTGCATGGAAACAAACATTCCAGAAGTCCCTGGAGATTGGAAGGGAATTTGATGACCACAGGGCAGAAGGCCCAGAGGGCACAGAAGGGCTGATCTTGTTTTTGTTTTTATTTGTGGAGCAGAGGAGAGAACAGATTAGGGCATAAGTAGAGACACACAGATTACAGTCTGGATAATAATGGACAACTGGGAAACCTTGAAATTCACTAGGTCACTGGGATAAAATGTTATTACTACTACAAAACAACAATAATGGTAATTATTATTTATAGTGGTAATAGTTGAAGAAGTAGTAGCAGAAGTATTGTGGCAGTTTTATTTCACACCTGTGCAAAGTACTTCCCATGGCTACCAATAACCCTATGATCTTTCAAACCTACAGTCAAATTTCATACTATTGGTGACAACTTCATAGACTACAAATCACTGATCAGAGTAAAGTGAATACAGAGCTTTGAAGTCATCATGGCAGTCTCTGGAGATGACAGCAGACAAATCATTTTAAAGTTGAAACCCCAAATGGTACAGAAGATGTGGGGCAGCTGTTTTATGGGGCATCTGGGGATCAGGGGGTTACTCACATAGTCCTCTTGCACTAGAAAGAAGCAGCTCCCTTAAAACTCAGCTGGTGGAAGGACCAGATGTCTGGAAGTGGCTCCATCCACAGTTCTTCATTCCTCTGCACTTTTGCTCAATTTGTTAGAAAATTCCTAATCATTCTTGAAGACCTAATTCCATTCATTCGTTCATTCATTCATTCATTCAACAAATATTTGAGAGCAGCTACTGTAGGCTATAGACGATTCTAGACACTGGGGATACAATGGTAAATACACACACGCAAAGGTGTATATATATTTATCTTTTTACATGTATCTACCCTAGGAAATTTTCCCCACCACTGTCTTTACCTCTAGGCTGGTGGTGCCATGCATTACTTCCACAGCATATTATTTATTCATTATTTTTTTTCAGTAACATGCTGACTATTATATATATTTACATATATATCTACAATTATATATATATATATATATATGTCTCCAGTCCAGTTCTCTCTACAACGATTCTTTTTAAGTCTAGTGAGATCATGCTATTTTCTACTCAGAGCCGTCCAAAGGCTCACTAGTTTACCAAAGTAAAAGCTAAAGTTCTTATCAAGTTTTGTTCCTGTCACAAGATGCCACCTTATAAATCCCATCTTCCATGTCTTTTCTTACCCAGCCACTGCAAGAGTTATAGGAAGGATATCGTCAGATGAAGGTTACATGGTAAATGGGCTGATGCATTCTGCTGGCAAGAGAACTAAATTTTCATTCTACTCTTGATATAATCTTACGCAGCAGGACATCAAGTAGACTTCTGGATTCCTTAGTCATTCTTCACTTGGGAAAGAGGGAAGGTCTCATACATGAATGAAATTGTATGATATTATGATTATAGTTCTCAAATTATTGTGGTAAATGATTTTAGAAAAATGAAACACTTCCAAGGGGAAAAAATACATCACTTTTTGCAAGTACTTAGAAAACTGAAGTGGTCAGCAGGATTTTATAATTAGCCTTGCTAAAATTTTAAGTTGTAATTCATGGTTTTGAACTGTTCTGTGCATTAGAGAGTGCCCCCAAGAACAACAAAAATTCCCATCCAAATACAGCTCCATTTTGTGTCTACATTCAGATGCACTGACTAAATGAGTACTTGAAGATAACACAGTCATTAATATTTTGAGAATCGTTGACACACAGAATGAGTGAGTTACATTCTATTGCATTATAGGCAAAGCCAGGAAGAAAATTCAGAGCCCTTCCCGCTCCATTCTATGGATACCATTTTTAATTGTTACGTTTGGTGTGAAGAAGCCTGCTACAGAATGTATATTCAGCATGGCAGCTTATGCTCTCCTCAATAGTATTTTAAAACAAATGTTAAGTTTCTTTTCTAGTATACTTACACTTGTGAATGTGCTTTCAACATTTCTCTTTCTCTATTTCAACAGAACCCCAAGTTTCACATGCCTGAGAATCTGAAAGAAAAAAAGGAAAATCTTCTACTCAACTCTGAGAGGCCTACTAGGGTCCTAACGAAAACCAGCCACTCACAAGGAGAGGATCAACCTTTGAATAAGACCACAGGGTCACCAACAAATAAGTTGATTGAAAAACATCAAGGAGCTAAATCTGAGAGGCCTACTAGGGTCCTAACGAAAACCAGCCACTCACAAGGAGAGGATCAACCTTTCAATAAGACCACAGGGTCACCAACAAATAAGTTGATTGAAAAACATCAAGGAGCTAAAACTGTCTTCAAGAAGTTCGGCAGAATGAATTGGCCACTGGACACTCGCCCTTTAAACAAAAGTTTAGTCAAAGACGACAAATGGAAGAAAACTGATGAGACCCAAGAGAAGCGCAGGTCTTTCCTTCAGGAGTTTTGCAAGAAGTATAGTGGAATGAGTCGTCCTCAATCACAGCTGTTTCATATGGTATCCAGAATCTATGTGGAAGATAAACACAAAGTCTTATATTGCGAGGTACCGAAGGCTGGCTGTTCCAATTGGAAAAGAATTCTGATGGTACTGAATGGATTGGCTTCCTCTGCATATAACATCTCCCACGACACCGTCCACTACGGGAAGCATTTGAAAAAGCTAGATAGCTTTGACTTAAAAGGGATATATACTCGCTTAAATACCTACACCAAAGCTGTGTTTGTTCGTGATCCCATGGAAAGATTAGTGTCGGCATTTAGGGACAAATTTGAACACCCCAATAGTTATTACCACCCAGTATTTGGAAAGGCAATTATAAAGAAATATCGACCAAATGCCTGTGAAGAAGCATTAATTAATGGATCTGGAGTCAAATTCAAAGAGTTTGTCCACTATTTGTTGGATTCCCACCGTCCAGTAGGAATGGACATCCACTGGGAAAAGGTCAGCAAACTCTGCTATCCATGTCTGATCAACTATGATTTTATAGGGAAATTTGAAACTTTGGAAGAAGATGCCAATTACTTTTTACAGCTGATTGGTGCTCCAAAAGAGCTGAAATTTCCCAATTTTAAGGATAGGCACTCTTCTGATGAAAGAACCAGTACTCAAGTCGTGAGACAGTATTTAAAGGATCTAACTAGAACTGAGAGACACTTAATCTATGATTTTTATTACTTGGACTATTTGATGTTTAATTACACAACTCCATTTTTGTAGACTGCATTCATTTTGTAAAATCACAGTATTCATGATGATGGGCTCAAATCAGCTACTGTAATATTCCTATAATTCTCTATATGAGAGAAATTTAACCAAGCGCAGTTGTCCTGATTTAATGAAGATGTTTACCAAATAATGTGATACCAATTGGCACACAGTTATAAGGAAAATCACCTAGCGAAGACATGTAAACAACTTGAGTTGCTCTAAAATGTTTGGAAAAGAGCTGCTTTTGCATTATGGATTATATTGTCGAAGTAATAACCTAGCCAGCTGTTATATTAACTAAAACAGCCTCTTGGAATGATAGGAAAAGGATCTAAAATAGCATGAGTGTGTCTATATCCTGGAATTTATTGTCTAAAGTGCATGAATATATTTTTAGCAGTCTGTGGCACATTAATCAAACCATGGATAGTTTTCTTACAAGCTGGAAATCTTTTTATCAACTGTAATGATAAATCCATTTTGAAATGATATTTTGCACTTAGGCATTTTACTTTAGGTTGGAAGGCATGATATGATTTACAATATGAGAATATAGCAGAAAAACCAGATGAGTCTATGGCTTTTTATATTCAACAGCCAATAAAAAATGCACAACATGCTAAGATCAAAGCAACAAAAGCTACCTCCCTCTTACAGAAAAACTTAGGGGAATTGATTCTGTTTTTGTTTGAGCCCTCCACAAAGAGAAAAAATAAATACAACCACTAAAGGTCTTCATTTCTGAAGCAGGCGGTTGAGAAGTTTAAGTCTCATCAGATATAAATGTGCTCCTAATTCTGGTTTAATTGGGCAGGGGGGAAATTGTTTCAGGATGGAATAATCATCAAAAACAAAAGTTGCCATTCTGAATATAGACCCCAAACAATAACAAAGTTTTATAAGAATATTATTTGAATCAAAGCATCATGTGCATAGCTTTGTATGTGAAATACACCCTGTGAATTTCTTTTGTTTTCAGTTTAATTATTCAGCTTGGGAATGACTTTTTAAAAACTAATATACCACTTCAAAGATAGGTTACATTCTAGAGAATAAACATAATAAGAGCCCCTAGAAATGTTTTTAATAGGCTTATGCATAAGCAAATTAAGGTATTTTCTTTTTAAGTTTAAATAGTCTATACTAACAAAGTCAAATACCATTGCATTTAAATATTAAATCAAAGTCTTTGGAAAATAGGACCATGTGTCACCACTATGAAAAGTTGTAAAGCATTTTGGAGATTTTTTTCCAAGGGATCCTAAATTAGTAGACACATTTGGATAGGAAACTTATTTTAATTGGTCAACCATTATATTTAGTCAAGCAAACCCCATGTCATTCAAACCCTGTTTAAATGGCTACTTTGAATACATTTCTCTTCCTAAGCTATCACTTCTTATCAGTAAATATTGAGTAATGTCTCTCACAGAAAAGTAGGTGTTCATATTTGAATATTAATAGACCGAGATATTACAGTCATGCTTATTTCATTCTGATTTTCCGTTTCATAGCTGAGTATTCGTGGATTGCTTCCCCTTGATATGCACCTGCCATGTCCCATCTGTGTCTCCTAAGGAGTGAGCAAACTGCAACAGGCTAAGAGATCATAGTATTAAGCCTCCTAAACCAACTTTCCACTGCTTTTCCGTTCCATTTACTCTTGCCCCTAGACCATACACTTAAGCTGTGCAATTTATTTTAAAGGAGTTTCACTGTAGAGTAATCTAAATTATATAATTTAAAATTTTGCTATCCTATGTGGAGTGGATTCCTATCAACTTATGGACATTGAAATTATCTTCTTATGGAGAGAGGGGAAGAATAGAAAATATTCCAAGAAACCTGAAATTTTATTCCTAAAATAAATATTTTATTCCTATCCTGCTATAAAGGATAAAGGCAATTTTCTCAAAAGTATTCCTAAAACTATATAAGGAACAAACAAAAAACTCCTTTTCATAGCTTTGGAAATAAATAAATAAAAACAAGGGTCCTGTCTCTCTTATTAGCATTTCTAATGCATTGGGCAGGGTGGAATAATATATATGTATGTTTACACACACACATATATAAAATAGAGGAGGGTGGAATATATATATACACGCTCATACACATACACGAGAGAGAGATGATTGTCTGGCTTTGACGGTAGAGAAGAGGGTTGAGTGGAAGAAAATGACACACAATGCTCCATATCGAAAGCTGTCTGTGCCTTTTGCTGTATCTGCTTTTTTCATGACCCTTTCCACCAAGCCTACCTAACCACGGGTGGTCGTTCAGTCAAGTTCCAGAGGTCATATGTATTTTTTACCAGGAAAGAATGAACTTTTTATGTACCTGCTCTTCATTTAGATGACTACTTTTTATGTTAGGGCCCATGAAGCCAGTCATCTTCCTGGATGCCTCATGATTTTGAATACCTACCCCACTTATTTCCCCTGAATTGTTCGGCTCTGCAGACCAGCTCACACCCACCCTTGTCATTTCTGCCTGTGTATAAATCCAGGTGTGAGCAGTAGTGGTCCTTTGGGCAGTCATAATTTCATGAATTTAGTTTCCTAAAGGCAAGTGACCAAATCCAGGCATATCTTCCAGATGTCCAATGTTCCGATTTTGACATTTAGCATGCTTTACGTATAATTAGAAGTCCTCTAATTAAACCCTAAGGATCCTATTTGTTTTTACGGGCAGCAGTAACACGATGGGCAGGCCTCGTCACTCTGATATTCCCCTGTCTGGGATTACCATTAGGGAAACAAGTTGGCAATTAAATTCAAAGCCACAGTGACTTAACCTGGTAAACTACCTATGGATATGCATTATTGATGTGATTGTGCCCAGAAACTGCCACAAACTTCAGTGATGCATGTACAGAATACCCAGTTTTCTGATTTTCTCACATGTGTTTGGAATTATTCATTAAGCCAATGGAAACGTGAGACCACTTGCTAAATTCTCTAGCAGAGAATATTATTATTATTACTACTAGAAAATTAGTACTTCTAATTCAGGAACTGCTTGGATGCCATTTATAATTAGAAAGAGGAAAAAGACTTTTATACTTTATTCATGAATAACTAAATTCTCTAGCAGAGAATATTATTATTATTACTACTAGAAAATTAGTACTTCTAATTCAAGAACTGCTTGGATGCCATTTATAATTAGAAAGAGGAAAAAGACTTTTATACTTTATTCATGAATACTTATTTTCATCTCCTAAAATACATAGTGGTTAGAAGAAGGAAATACATGAGAAGATGCAGAAAATTTTGAATATTAGAGGTCCATTGAAAAGATCACTTGCTCGTCATAAGATGGCAACGGGTCTGGAGCGGCCGTGCCAGGAAACAGCGTGATCCTGAGAGCTGTGTGCTATGATACCAGAGTATTGATTG